AGTGTACTGCGTCGGCGCCTTTTGCAAACCTGTTTGGGGGTCGCCGGATGTGATGTAGCGGTGTTACGAGTGTTGAAGATGCATGTCCTTGTCTTCCTTTTTAAAACTTTGACTTATGGTATTGTTGGCACTGTACTAAAACAGGATGGTGGTGTGTGCATGTTTTTATTCTGTCGTTTTTGTTTTTTTCTTGCTAGCTATGGTGACCAAAAGTTTTAGTTAATTGCATGGGTTGACGGAACAGAAACATGGTTGTGCATCATTTTTGGGAAATTAATGGGATGTTTATGTTTTAATATTTTGTGTGGCTATTTTTAAGACAGGGAATTACGTTTTCCTTGCACGCTTTTGAATGCCTATATGTCGCATATTATCAATTGTTAGTTTAGTTTGCTGGCTAGTTTTGTGGTTGTTACCACCATGGCCTCCCTGTAAAGCATAAGTTGAACAGCTTCTTTTTTGTGTGCAATTCATATGATTATGCGTTCCAAATGACATTGGTGACGACATTACTTACATTAAAAACAATGTCGGCATTTTGTAATTGCAAACTTCAATATAATTTGAGTCAATGAATCACGTGCCAACTGATTGAAAGACTGCCACTCTTGTAGGTTTTGCATCCACGAAGACACGATGAATCCCTGGGATGGAAGCAACAATGATGAAATAACGGAAATGCTTAATCAAATTGCGGTCCAGGTGTAACAAGAACAGAACTGCACATTTCTACAAGCATGCCAGTATGCGACAGAATGGTACGAAAAACACATGGATAAAACGCCGTGTCACACTTCAATACTAACCGGGAATACATGGATATGCGAACTATATGCGGGCCATATGGGTCGATTTGAGGAAAATGTTTGCATACCGAAGGAAGTTTTTTCCGCATTGTGTGAGACATTAGTAAATGAATTTGGGTTACAAGTCCTGCAACGTCCACATGGCTTAGCTGTTGAAGAAAGCGTTGCAATGTTTATCCATGTGTTGAAAGGGAAGCAAAATCGAGAAATCCAAGAATGGTTCCAACATTCCGGGGAGACTGTGTCGAGGCACGTGCATAACGTATTAACTTCCATAAAAGAGTTCATTGTTGTTCATTGCCGGCCCACATACAGTCAGCATCGTATATATCCATACGTGCGGCCTAGACGGAAATACCTACCGTTTAAGGTACTTCTGGAAAACATTATTGACATATAAATCAAGACAATTAATTATATTTTGTTTTTATTATTAACTGCACGTGACGTCTGGAAAAAAACCAAACACTTGTTACCCATTTACGCAACAAAACAATTGGGTTGTTTGCAGGACTGCATTGGCGCAATAGACGGAACACATGTCAGTGCATGGGTTACGGGGCCAGATACGGCAATATATTTCGGTAGGAAATACTGTCACACGCAAAATATCATGGCCGCTGTCGATTTTGACATGTGTTTCATATTCATTTCCTGCGGATGGAAAGGAAGTATGCATGATAGTCGCATATTCAACGAGATACTAACAAATGACAATGTCCCCTTCCCATATCCTGACGAAGGTAACACATCGTCCTGTTATTACATGTAGGGGGCTATAAATTTTTCCTGAAACAGCGTTACTTGAAAATGACGCAGAATGTTCGGTTTTGGTGTCATACATTGTTGTCATGTCTGCAGGCAAATATTATCTTGTCGATTCTGGCTATCCAAACCGGATTGGTTACTTAGCACCATTCAAAGGCCACCGTTACCACCAACAAGAATTCCGACGTATTGCACAAAACACGATGGCAAACACGCCAAGGGAATTATTTAACAAAGTGCACTCGTCTTTACGCAGTGTGGTGGAACGCACTTTCGGTGCCTGGAAAAATCAATGGGGATTTATTCGAGACATGCCTCGGTATGACTTTGCAAATGTGCAAGTTCAATTTGTAGGTGCGTCAATAGCATTACATAATTATATACGGCGAAACACAGGTAACCCAACAACTGTTCAGCCAATCTGTGACGAGGAAGAGGCTATGACAATAGTAAATGCCATACCAGAAGTTGAACATGACGAGGATGGTTTAATGGTTGGGGATGAGGACCCCCAAATGGCATTGGTGCGCCTTCACATACACGACAAATTATGTTACATGCGTAATAACGGAATGTTAGGAAATATATAATAGTCGAAATAATTTTCGTATGGTTGTCACATAATGACACACGTGGAACAGACTGTATTCAAATGTATTATCATGTACAATATGTATGAGTTTCCATGGGAATGTAACCCCTTCCAGTTGGTGACGTGCCTAACTTTCAAAAACAACAATCCATACGAATTTCGCTTTTCGAAAAACAAAAAAAAGGTGAAACAAATAAAACCAAATGAAAAAGAAAACTAATATATAAATTGTCATGTGCGACGTCAATTAAAAACATAAAAGCAGAAGTTGAAAACAACAAGAAAACCAAAACAGACTGTAGATTTTTTGACATGTGCCACGGCAATATATGATTTTCCACTGCATTTTGAATAAATGACATAAAAAAACGTTTTTCCAAACAAAAAAACCAACCGAAATTAGCATTTGTCACGTAATTTACAGATAAAATAAGCATGGTGAAAACTGATTTGTCAAATATAATAACAAAGTACTGTATACAAATTAAAAAAAATTAAGGAAACATAAATTAAAAAAAGAAGAACGACAAACATAGGCCTCATCCAAAAAAAAAGGAAAAAAAAAAAGAAAAAAACAGAAATTACCATTTGCCACGTCGTTTACAAATAAATAAAACGAGAGAAAATCCATTTTCTAAATATAAAAACAAATTAATGTGAATGAATAAGACAATGACAAAATCGTAAATTTTGAAAAAATAACGACAAAAGTACGCCACATTCAATAAATATTTTACAACAAAAACATGAAAACATAAATTACCATTCGCGACGTAATTCACAAATAAATGAAACACATAAATATATTAAAAAAAAGGTTATTGTATACCAATAAAAATGAAGAACAAGAACTAATTAATGTAAAAAAAAACAACAAAAAGACAAAAACATAAATTCCAAAAAAAAAAATCGAAAAATTTAAGCACAATACGCCAAATCCAAACCCAAAATTAAAAAAAGTAACAGAAAAAAAGCAAAATACGAAAAATCCAAACGCAAAATAAAAAAAATGAAAAGAAAAAAAAAATTAAAGCAAAATCCGCCAAATCCAAACTCAAAAATCTATACCCGAATTGAACTGACCCCTATATGCCTCTTTTAACCCCGTCTTCACCTCGGAATTGTCTTACCCAACGTTGAATCCACAACGCCAATGTCAAATCACGACAATGAGCCACTCCGGAATCCACCAAAACTTCAAGCCCGAATTCCACGGAATCCACCGAAGAACAAGACTCTTTTGTATTGAACGAAACAAGCAATCCTTTGATGTATATTTTTCAAACTAGATTTAAACTCAAACAAACATAAAAAAAAAAAAAAAAAAAAAAAAAAAAAAAATTAGCAAAAAATGCCAAATCCAAACCCCCCAAAAAAAAAATAAATAAAAAATTTAGCAAAATACGACAAATCGAAACCCAACATAAAAAAATTAAAATAAAAAAATAACTAAAATATGCCAAATCCAAACCAAAAAAAATAAAATAAAGCAAAAAGCCAAAATTGTAAAAAAAAAAAACAGAAAATATGCCAAATCCAAACCCAAAATAAAAAATAAAAAAAAGGCAAAAAAGGCAATTTGGTAATTTAACAGGATGACACCTCACCAAAAAGCTAAAAAGCCAAAAAAGCCAAAAAGTCCTTTCCAAACTAGGCTAAAATAGCCCACACTAAAATAGCCAAAAATCTAAAAAATCAAAAAGCTAACCCACTTCCCAAACGGAGGTTTTGTAAATTTATTATTTTATTCTAAAAAATATGACATAAGGCACTTATATGTATATTTTTCATAAAATGATAAAAGTTGTAATCAATTGAACCAAATTGAAACAAAATCATAAATTCAACGTCAAAATTACACTAATTAAAAATACAAAAATCAAAATGACAGAAGGGTCATAGTATAAGAACTAATAGCACAATTTGCCCAAAATAAATGATAAAAATGTGTTTATGATATGAATACATTATTGTTATAAGTGACACTAAATAACTTATCAAATTTTGCGATAAAAGAAAATTGTAATAAATAAATAAATAAAAGTTGTGCAACTCCAGGAGATTAAACTAACGTAATAAATTGAGACATGATTAGTGTTTTAAAAAAGGTAAGCCACGAAGTCTATGAAACACTTTCTTGACCCACTCTCAAGGCATGTACTCTACCATTACTTTAGGCGTTGTTTGGCAACATTTTTATTTTGTATTTTCTATTTTTATTTTTTATAAACAACAAACATAAATTTGTTTATTATTTTGTTTTAGTTTTCAAAGAAATAAAAATAATTCTAAAATATTTGATTTTTTTTTTTGAAAATGAATAAAGGTGTTTCCACCACCACTAGCTACAGGTTGCAACCACCAACTACCTGCGATCCTCCAGCCAGCTTGGGCAAGTTTTGGTGACTAACGTTTTAAGAACCGGACAAGACCGACTGGTTTAATCAGTAATCGGACCTAGTTGCAGTCCGAATGATCTACAAAAATCGAATTAGGCTAAAAATCGGCCTTGTTTGCAAAAATTGGTGATTCAACTGGTAAAATTGGTCCTGGTTCTTGACCAACCTAGTGGTTGTTTTTTTTTTTTCTTCTTTTTTTTTCTTTCTTTCTTATATATTTATATATCAAAATTTTGATTAAAAACTCTTACTTCAAGTGTCTCCTCTCATGATGAGGAGTCTCATTGGAAGCTTGAAGAAATTATGACAGTCTATTCCTATTTATAGGAAAACTTGTTCAAAGAGAACCAAAAAATTCAACGTGAGATTCAATCAAATTATTTGAATCATATTTGATTGGAATGAGAATGGAAAGTTTCATTTCCCTCCAAAATTAAATTTAACATTCAATCAATTTGTTTGGAGGGAATGTTAAATTTTTTTAATTTCTTTGAAACGAATGACTTCTTTATTTTATATCAATTATGACTTTATTAAATATTATTAGTAAATATTATGCAACACTTTTTTTTATTATTTCAGTAATTATATATATTTTTATTTATTTATAATTTATAATTATATTTCTTAGTTGTTTCCATCTTTGAGGTATTATTACTATTTCTTCATTCATATTTTGCTTACTTGTTTTAGGTCCTTTCATTTCTTTCCCCCTCTTCTTGGAATTAGATCAGCTTCTGCATTGCCATTCCTCCTCCCCTATATTTTCATTCTGTTTCAGATCACTATATTTCTTCCTAATTTACTCAACCACATCGATCCTCTATGACAAATGCTAATGTCGCTCGTATATTTTATATATATATATTCTGTACGTACAAATTCTATTGAATTATCTAATAATGTGTATATCTGTGTGTAATTGTGTACGGATGTGAAAAATACTACTAACAATTACAAATCAAAGCCGCATTCTTGGAAACAAAAAAAAAAAAAAATTACCAACACATGGAGGGATGCAAATGACACTTGCACCTCCACAGCCTTTCATTTGCACCCCTACTTGCATCTCCCATATATTTGTAATTTTTTTTTTCCAAACTCCCACCTACATGCAGTTCCCCATTTTTATTTCATTTGTTTTCATAATATTATATGTATCAAACAAGTTTTGTTTATCATCCCACCAAAAAAATAAACATTTTTACTATTTTATGTAAATAGAAAATAATAAAATGATAATTTTATTATTTCGAAATTATAATATATATTTAGTATTTTTTTTAAAAAAATTATACTATGTATTTTACTTTTTAAGTGTATCTAAATTAAGTGAATTTAAAAATAAATAAATCTACTTAACATATTAATTTTTTTTTTTACCAAACACAATAAACATGAAAAACAAAAAAATCAAAAACTGTTTTTGAAATATGTTTACCAAACAGAGTAAAAATTCAGTGTCACAGTGATACCAGGTCACCATTGACACGTGGTATTACCTATCAACAATAAATTTACATGTGAAGGGTGAACCTCACTAAGAATATAATATCTTATCAGGGGTGTGCGTAGTTTGGTTCGGTTAAGGCGGCTTGAGAGTAAAATTATAAACCGAATAGCGGATTAGCGGATTGCCAAATCACGGTTTGAGCGGTTTCAGACGGATTGAAGAATATTCTAATCAATTATCAAATATTTGCATAATATATAATATTAATTTGCATAATATTTTTCATATATATAACACAAACCAATTTTATATAATATTTTCCATATGTATAACTATTAATTTGTAACAAATTTTACATCTTAAATCTTTTTCACACTCATTTTTACTTTGATATTTCATTAGAGATTAAAAAATATATATGTTTTAACTATTGTGGACAGGAGCGGTTTCGAAGACAGATTATAAAATCTGAAGTTTAATCTGTAGTTAGAAGATTGAATGGTGCGAATTGATGGGGATCGATGTGGTTTTGGCTGATTGAGTAGTATTTTGCACAGCCCTATGTAGACACCCTATTTTGATTAGTCTTAAGGCTTGGGTGCCTTCTCTAGGCATTTGATGATGAAGATCCGGAATGCGTGATACTTTTGATTTCTACAGCAAAAAACTCAATCTTAAAGCGGATCCAAACCTTTCACCCATTTTGGGAAAATATTTTAGACAGTTAAAAGCTTTTTTTTAAAAATATTTTTAGCCGAGTGTAAATCCAACCATTTTCATGATGTTCAAGCTCATCCTTCAAAAATGTTGTACTTTTTGTAAACTGAGTAACGATAATGTGGAATTAAGTGGAAATGGGGAGAATTTCTTGGAAAAACCTTGTCCTCTCTTCAAAATTGATCCAACCATACAAAAATAGGGTCCAGTTGTACAAATTTATGATTGGCCGACCATATTCTGGTTGGCCGGCCATGTTTTGGCTAGTCGGACAAAATTGTCGAGAGATAGAGCAATTTTGAGGAAATGGTCCCTCCATGCATATAAGGTTGCTACATCCACAATTTTTGCACGAATTATGGA